TTTTGATGATCAAACTAAAATAGCTATAGAAAAGCTATAGAACGAGAAAACAAACACATAAAATAGCTATATTTTTCCACTGTATTTTCTTAATATGTTTTATTAATTTTAAATTGCTTAGAAGAACGTAGAACTCACACTATAATAGCTATATTTTACCATTCGGTAGGATTCGGACACACATCCTAAATGATATTCTTTAAAGTATATTGATTGATTGAAGACCAATGTTTTATATAATATTAAACTTCCATATGAATCAAGGTAACGTTCCTCCCTTCTATAAATTTGTTTAGTTAGTACATAAATCTATGAATAAGACCTTTCGCATCCAACAACTACTCATAATCGTTGTTTGAACCAACTTTATCAAACAAAATATATCAGGTTTTATACTTCCACCAGTATAAGAGAGTATATTTATCTTATCATTCCATCTACGTAATCAGCGCAAAATTCTAAGACGATTTAACTATGTCTTTCCGTCCGTTTGTCTAAGTCAATCACCATAGAATTGACATTTTGCGCTGTCTTTAGTCTGAAGTCAGATCAGGTTCAAAAAGGATTTTATCAATCAATGTCTTCGTATAAACCCCATTTAACCCCCAACAAAGTTTTCAACGGACTTGTTTGAAATTTGTTATTGGAAGTTCTTTATAGGTACCATCGCAGTTTAAGATCTTCAACCTCCAATTTCCCACATTAAAGAAAACAAATTATTGATATATTTTTCAAATATTTCAAAATTGTTTATTTCGACTTTTTGTGTTCATTAATAAAAATTAGTTTATTTTTTTACTAGGTAAAAATTAACATAAGTTCTTTTACATAGACTTTTTTGTATACAAAATCAGTGCTTAAACAACTATTTGCTTTAATTTACAAATAAACCTAGAATTAGAATCTACTTGTTGCGCTAAGATTAATTAAATTAAAATACAGAAATAAGCAACAACAAAAAAATTGCTCTTTTTTGGGGTTATCGACAAAGCTGCTAAGTGCAATTTTAAGAATCGAGTAAAATATTATTTACAAAATTTGGAATAATTTTTTGGGATATTTTATAAAAAATATTTGTAGTTAGAAATTAATTTATTAGAATTCTATTGGTGATGATTTAATTATTTTTAAATTAATATTTTTTATATAATTGTTTTTATTGTAGTCTTTGCATTTTTATTGAAGAGTACAATATCTTGTTAATAATACTTTCGAGTTTATTTGTAAAAAATATATATACTATTTTTTCTGAAATCTGTAAATTATTAGCCAAGTGTATATTAAGGCGAACATCTTTAAGGCATTTGTTTTTTGTGTGTAATTTAAGGTGTGTTTATAGCATTTTAGAAAAATATCTGTCGTTTCGAATTCAATTCTTCATCTATTAGGAAATGTCTTCAGTTTGGAAATACTTTTTGAAACTATTGGAATAAATAAATTATAGAAAGAGAGATTATAGAAAGAGAGTTTAGATAATGGCACCACTTAAAATATCCTGAATAGTTCCCATCAAAAAATAGTTTTGTTTCAGTATACTAGGTAGCGTTTTTTTTTTAATATACTGATATCCCAAAAAAAAAAAAAAAACAACTAGAAAGTAAAAAGTGCGTAGACAGTACAATGATCATGTTCGAAAAAAGATTTCTTCATTGGAACTGGAGGTAATTTATGATTTATTTATTATTATTTATTTTTCTAAATTGTATGTTAACTTTTTTACTCTGTTTTAGATCCCACAAGAATTTACTAGTTTTGCAATTTTTTTTTTCGATATTATGAGGGGAAAATCGGTTATTGTTCTTGCAGATCTGTTTATTTTTCCAGACTTACTGAAATTAATTTGAAAATCTTATGAACCTACCATATTTGGGGACTGACACCGACCTGATTTATTGCCCACCCTTAGAGATCTTCCTATTTCTCTTTACAAGACTTCTTATTCGGGAAATCCAAATACCATTTCCAGATCCAGAAGATTTTTCGTTATAGCCTGCTGGATAGTTAAGTTTTTAAATCTGGAGTAAGAAGCGGATTATCAGAAAGTAATACAGCATGTATTGCTAGCTTCCACACACATAATTGATAATCCAACGTTTTAAACGTGATAGATAGGTAGTATTTTCCACGGCTTTGAACCATGCGGAGGACAGTATTAAAAACCATTATTACGACAATTGCTAACGATCATATTCTGTGGTACGTACTGTTCTTGTGGGGTCCTAAAAGAATATGTGTGGGATATACCGTAAAACACTGTTGGAGGACCATATTGTTATTGGAACTTATGTTAATAGTCTAACACTGGATATTTTACTCTGATCAACTCAACATCACCCATTTTATTGTTTGACCTCTTGAGTGTAGGGTTGCCAATTTTATGCCATTTAGAAGAGCTGGTATCACGAAGTTTTAGTTTGTGGAACATTGACACCCTCCTGTTCTCTATTCGGGTAAGAACAAGCCCAATAAAATATGGATAAGTCACAGTGGATCCTTGTCTCAGTCACTTGATCCCTAATAGTAATCCACTTAAGTAAGACCTGGTATCACGAGGTTTTAGTCTATAAAACTCTGGCATCCTCCCGCTTCGTAAATCTCTTAAGGGCATCTGTAGTCACCCTACAATTTTTTTATACCCTGCACAACGAACGTAGCCAACGTGTGGGCCGGTGTGGCCCTCTGAAATGGTTGAATTTTAGAAATTTTTAGAGAATTGTGTTTGAAAATCTAATTGTTTGCCATTTGGCCTCCAATCCATACTATGCTATTCTCCATAGTATAGAGGGGAGGCCAAATCTATCCAAATCTTGTCATTTCGTTTGAAATTCGAAATACTCCTCGGAATATTTATTTTAGACCGTACAAAATATATAAGTATATACATATATTAATATATACATGTATAAAATTCGGCACTTAGTGTTAGCAATGAGTTCCAACTTCTGTGATAGATCATTGTGTGTATAGGCCCATATTATCATATAGCCCCCATATTTCGATACTTCCCGATATCCGGTATTGTGACGATTTTGATCATATTTTCTAACCAAAATGTTTTAAATTTGGTACTTTTAGTTTGAAATGGATTCTACCTTTGATGGCAGAGCATTATTTATATAATTCCATGTTTTCCCATAGCACCATATTCCTGTACCTCCCGCTATTTGGTATTCCGACGATTTTAAAAAAAATTTGTAGCAGAGTTTCAATTTTGGTATTTACACACTTTGGGTGGGCTTTTAATAGGATCACTCTTCAGCCACAGAAGACTACGGAAATAGGTCCCCGATTTTTTATATCACCCATATAGTGCTACCTCTGAGCATTTGATATTTTGGAAATTTGAACAACATTTTCTGTACCTCCCGAAATTCGGTATTCGGACGATTTTAACCACATTTTGTAGCAGAGTTGTTTCAAATTCGGTATTTACACTTTGGGTGGACTTTTAATAGGTTCACTCTTCAGAGACAGAAAACTACGGGAATAGGTCCACAATTTTTTATATCACCCATATAGTGCTACCCCTGAGTATTTAATATTTTGGACATTTGAGCCACATTTTTAACAGAACGGAGAACAACCAGGAAATGGGTACCATCGACCTTACGGCGTTTTGAAAGCCTTTTGCCACTCGAATTCATTGGCAAAAATGAAAGAGGACCAAATATTTAATACCGACACTTTCATTTTTAAATTGCTTCTTTACCTCATGGTGGAGGATATTAAAAGTTCGTCCTGGCCGAACTTAAAGCCTTTTTTATTTTATTTATTAAAAATAATTTTTGAAGTATTCTATCACAAGGGGTTGGGGTCAGTAAGAATTTAAAAATAATAACTTTTTTCGATTATATTATTATTTTAGATTATGAGGTCACATATAGCCTGACAATCCAATCAATCAGTCAGCTATTCGATTCGAGCAAATAAAATCTAAGGAAGAAGATCGTGTAGCAAATGTTCTCAAGAACGTTCCTTGAAGAATGCATTTTTATCTCAATTATAAGGGATTTCTCCCATACCATCTTCCCCAAAATATCAAACTTTCACATATTTGAAAAAAATCATGTCAATCACTTTTAAAGCGCTCTCTCGGATTACGTTTCTAAATTTTGAACAATTTAATGCCTTTCAAATTTTCTGTCTTCAATATTTCTTCTAACCTTGTAATTAAAGTATTTTCCGAATTTTCTTCTAATACCCTCCACCATAGTATGGAGGGTATATTAAGTTTGTCATTCCGTTTGTAACATCTAGAAATATACATTTTAGACCCCACAAATATATTCTTGATCAGCATAAAATTCTATGCCGATTTAGAGATGTCCATCCGTTTAACCGTCTGTGGAAATCATACTAGCTTCCGAAGGAAATTAAGTAGATTGATAAAATTTTACTCAAATGTATATTATGTCTGCAGGACTTTTGGTATTGTAAATGTAATGTAGGTAAATGGGCCATGTAGGTCTACGTTTTGGTATAGCTCCCATATGACGGTACCTCCCGGTATTCGGTATTTTGATTATTTTAGCGCAACTTTTCACCGGAAATGTTTCAAAGTATTTAAAATTCGTAATGGATACTACAGCCAAAGACATAAAATTGTCTGTGCAGGTCTGCGTCTTCGTATAGCCCCCATATAACCTCCCGATATTTGGTACCTCCCGATATTTGATATTTTGATGATTTTAGCGACATTGTTCATCGGAATTGTTTTAAATTTTCTATTTGAAGTTCGGTATCGGTACTACAGTCTATGACAAAATATTACTTATGTAGGTCCTCGTCTTCACATAGCCCCCATATAACGATTGTTATTAAAACGGTATTTGTTACAATTTTTTTTAAATTTTCCCTCCAAGTGGTGGAGGGTATTAAAATTTCGGCCCGGCCGAAATTAGGCTCATTTTTACTTTTATAAAAGGCAGTAATGGTTTTGTTTCATATTTGTTTTTGTTTTTCAAAATCATTTTTTAATTAATTTAAAACTTACATTATAAACTAATTACTACACATATATAAAATTACAAAATACAGACTAATTTTTTTTACAAAACAAATTTATCTTAAATTAATTATTTAAATTAGGCTTTTGTTGGTTGTGTGTGTTTGTTTTTCTTTTTTTTTTCTTTGATCTAAGCAAATTGTTTAAATAAACAAATGACAAATTTTTAGAAAATTTCCCATTTTCAGCTAGGCTAACCTAAGTGGAAACGTGTTTATGTTTTTGTTTTTTAATGTAAAGAATAAGTCTAGCTTAACAATAATTTTTAAAAAAATACCAAACAAAAAAATATATACAAAATTTACTTAAACAAATGAAATATGGTGTGGGTGTGTGTTTGTTTTAAATTAAGTAATTCGATTGCTGCTGTGTTACATTGAAAAAAAAATATTAGCGTATTCTTGTTGATGACCCCCCCTGGTAAAAATGGCACAGGTGAACAAAATTTGTTAACTTAAAAAGAAAAGAACAATTTTGTTTTTGTTACTTGGGTATCTGGGAGTAGTGAAGTTATGAAGATAGGGTGTTTTTTTTAGATGAAGTGGGGAGGATAATATGGCTTCCCGGCTTCTTGGATTTTTTGTTTTAATGGACCTACAAAGAGCCCCAGTCTATAACACTGGCCTCATTGTCTATATTACAACTATTATAGTTGTAATTATTGTTATTATTATTATTATTGTTGTTGTTATTGTTATTATTCTCTTGTTGAAATGTTTGCCAAAAATCATAAGTATCACTATCCTTCTTTGTTGTTTTGCTACAGCAATTTTTGGGTGGCTCAACCGTTTCCGGTCTCAATTTCTGTTGCTGCATTAAATCCCACCCAACTGTCCCTTCTTGTTAGAAACCGCGAGGATTATTTTTCTGTGATGAATTTAAGAATGGCTTCTCTTCGTTCATTTTCTCCAAATTTCCGCTAAGCGTTGGATCCGGTCTTCGGCGCTTGAAGAAACCACACTTCCACATGGCATAGGTGAAGAGCGCCAGCAGCAGCAGGCCTCCAATTATGGCCAATATGATAATCCACAGGGGTGTGGCTGTGTCACGCTGCTGACCGCTTAATTCGGGATAGGCACGTGTCTCCACCTGGGGAAAAAAGAAATAAAAAAAATGGAAATTAAATTTGGTTTTGGGGAACGAAAAAAGAGAAGAATAGAGAAGTTCTACTCACCGTCAGTGGCTCTGACGTCTGCGTCTGTTCCACACTAAATTCCCTGGGTATTTCAACGTGAGCCGTTGAAATAATTCGCACTGCATCGGCTCGCGGATGCTCGGACACCAGTGTTGAATTCCAAAGACGGGCCTTAATATGTACATAGGCCTCCGTGTTCGCTGGCATGTTATAGATATCACACTGGATTTTAATACACTGTGCCGTCGCCTTGGTACAATCCAATTCGACAATTTCACGTTTCTTGTTCTTGTGATCGCCACGGAAATCCATAAAACGTTCCGGTCGTATAATACGTGTCAGTGTATCGCGTCGCAGGCGATTCAGTACACCGCCTATGCTAGATTCTTCATTTGTTACCTCTTGTTTGCTGCTGCTATATGACGACTTTTCCATATACATACGATGGGCGAATTGTGTCTTGTTCAACGGTCTCATCATATACGGTGCTGGTCCCAACAGCAAATCATCGACAATGAGGTTCGTTTTCGATTTCGATTGAAGTTTGAGGGGATTTACATATTCGGGTGCAACGAAACATTCGCCTTGTCGTACATTATCGATTATCGGCATTTCTTCCAGATACAACAGCCATTTGTCGCGTTTGTCTTTTTCGCTTTGGATTTGATGCGGCCAATAGATGGTCAGCTGGACTTTGGGTGCCTTCCATGGGCCTTCGTTGTAGATCTAAAAAAAGAGAAGAAGAAGAGGGGAGATAATTAGTTACATAATTCGACATTTTTCGAAGATTTTGACCCGGTTCTCCAAAAGAAATGACTACCGATTAATTTCCTAACAGACGAGACTATCAAAATGTTAATAGGGAGGGTATATTTAGTTTGTCATTCCGTTTATAACACCTCGAAATAAAAATTTTAGACCCGACCAATTATATATATTCTTGATCAACATAAAATAATAAGCCGATTTGGCCTTGTCCGTCCGTCTGTGGAAATCACTCTAGCTTCCGAACGAAACGAAGTTTAAAAGGTTAACATTTTGCTCTGATGTGGTCTTGACCGTCTGTCTGTGAAAATCACTCTAGATTCCGAACGAAACGAAGTTAAAACGATAACATTTTACTCAGATGTGTGTAAGGTCTGCAGAACTTTTGGTTTTATGGGCTATATGAGACTTTATATGGGGGTCTCATATAGCCGACCGATTGAAGGTTTTTGGGTGTTTTAATCACAATTTAAACCCAATAAATTGAAAGTATGTGTTCGCATTATGTAAGACACATCCTTGCATTGAACTGTCAATATAGGTCTGAGTTATGGCAGAGTAGCCATATAACCGTGCCACTAGATATTCGGTATTTTCAAGAATTGTGTCGCACTTTTCAAATTTCAAATTTCGTATTTGAAGTTTCTAATAGGCACTACATCCTATGACAGGAAATAGCTCATAGAGGTCCACGTCTTCGTATAGGTCCTATACAACGGTACCTCCCAATATTGGGTATTTGGATGATTTTAGCGAAATTATTTTCCGGAATTGTTTCATGTTTCGTATTTGAAGTTTCTAATGGCTACTACCGACTGTTATAAATTTTTTTCTATGCAGGTCCAGGACTTTGTATAGGCCCCATATAACGGTATCTCACAATACTCGGTATTTTGTTGATTTTAGCGTCATTATTCACCGGAGTTGTTTCAAATGTCTCATTTGAAGTTCCTAATGGCTAGTACCGACTGTGATAGAAAATTTCCTATGCAGGTCCAGGACTTTGTGTAGGCCCCATATAACGGTACCTCCCAATATTCGGTATTTTGGCGAGTTCAGCGACATTATTCACCGGAATTGACTTAAATGTCGTATTTGAAGTTCATAATGACTACTACCGACTGTGATAGAAAATTTTCTATGCAGGTCCAGGACTTTGTATAGCCTCCATATAACGGCACCACCCTATAATCGCTATTTTTGTGATTTTAAAAATTTTTCCACGGATTTGTTTGCCGATTCCATTCAAATAGATGTGGATACTCAAATATACTGATTTTTCCCTCGTTATTAATATTTTCATATTTTTCTCTTACCTGATAGGTATGCATCACTTGTGAGCCAATATCTTCCATTGTCATCATGGTGCTATCCAAACGCATTTCACCACTGTAGAAGCTCTGTTCGGGACGGGCCCAACCTTGGAGACTCAATTCCGCTCTCTTAATAACTCGTACATCTAATTTCTTGGCCGGTTTCTCGGAGCCCACCAACTTCGAAGTGGTATTGGCAAAAATATCGAATGTTAAGTTGCGTTCATCCAACTCCAGGCCGCTGGGGTCGAAACGTATTGAGACCTGGGCAGCTGTGCCGCGGCGCATGGGATTGCCCAGGCTGCAGGCTACCACAGTTTCATTGAAACGACTGCAAATGGCGGTGCTCTGCAAAAGAGAAATCAGAGAATTAAATAAAATTTGATTAAAAGGGTTATAGTACGCCCTCAACCTACCGTCTTAATGGCCGCAATATAAGCCACACTCTTTTGATGCACAATAAACAGCTGGGTCTCATAGGCCGAATCGGCTGAATTGCTGACATTAACATTCACGCGAATCTCTTCCTGTTCACCCAAAACCAAGGCATAGTTTTCATCTGCAAAGGGAAAGAAATTCCGAGGGAAATTAAAAATTAATTCTTTATCAGGCTTTTTTCAATACTTACTCTCCATATTCAAATCCAGTTCGGCACTCAATTTCAAATTCGACTCACAAATATCATCATCACCACAATCCTTTTGGAAGGTACCCTCAAACTCAATATTAGCCTGGGTTTGATCTAAAATCGGGTTCAAACCCTTTAGCCCAGAATCGGGTAATTTTGTCTCTACCAAGGTATAGTTAAGTTTAAATTTAATTGGACTCTGGATATCTCGTGTATTCTCCTTAATATAACCTATCACCCGGTGACATGACAAACGACCATCTGTTTTCACGGTGACTTCACGTTTTATGACATTGCTGCGTTTATTCTCACGATCGAAAAAGACCCGAGAGAATTTCTTATTGGGTGCAAACGTCTCCGCCTCAACGGTGTACATAAGTTTCAAATCGATATTTGCCGCTGTGGCCTCATAGGGGTCAATGGAACAGCAGGCCTCAAAGGTGAAGCAAGTTAAATTGCTGAAAGCATCCGAAACACAACCACTCTTGGTGGGATCAATGTTTTTCAATTCTTTTCCCCTCCATTTGGTTTGTATGCTAATAATGGGCCTTGACAGCAAAGCCACCACGGCCGAAGAGTTATAGGCTCCCACCACAATATCAGGATACGAATTACCATCCAAATCAGTGCCACCGGTTATGGAACTGCCAAATGTTTGTATCGCCTTTGGCATCAGCCCCAAATCGGAGGCCTGTATTCTTTGAGAGGGTTTGGCACTCAAACCGTTACGGCTGCCCAAATAAATATACACCACACCATCATCTTCATAGGGCGCTCCAATGGCCAAATCTTCGCAGTTGTCCTTGTTAATATCTCCAATATTGGCCAAGGCCAAACCAAAGCGACTCTCAAACGTCCCCGTCAACTTGAGGGTGTATTTGTAAGGCAGTTTATCATTGACATTTTGATAAATATACACAGCTCCTCCTTCGGATTTGTTGAAATAAAATGGGGCAGCCACAATCAAATCTGGTTTCTGATCACCGTTAACATCGGCCGTGGTCAGTTCATAGCCAAACGAGGAGGCAAATTGTTCTCCCTCAATTACCATGTGTATGGGTATGGGGTTACGATTATCCTTATCGAAGATGACCACCTGACCGTGGCCATTTGCCCGAGGTGCTCCAGCCGCATAAGACATGCGCTCACCAAAATAACGTCCTCCCGTAACGGCCATACCCAGGTAGCTGTATTTCTCTATCGTGGAGGTATCCGAATGGTCACCATAGTACATGTTCTTATCACGTTCCAAATATTCACCACCAATTTCTGTTACAAAGACAGTGCCACGCCATGTGTAGGGCCCGGGGGTACCCAGCACCATGGTGTTGTCATCCAACAAGGCGCCAGAGGTGCCCACCTGACAGAAACCATAATCTTCATGGGCTCTGTAAATGAAAGCAAAATAAATTATAAAAATTTAAATTTTAAATAAATCATTTTTATTAGACAAATGTCCTTCCTTCCATAATCCTTTAACACATTAGTTGTTGTTGTTGTTGTTGTATTTGACCTGGAAATGTAGTTCTTTCACGCATCTCTTTTGTTTTCCATGCTTGCTTGTAATCTCTAGTGTGGAGCATAACGTGTCTTATCTTTGCTATGCTTCTGACCAGACCACCTCAATTATGGTAATAATATCACACTTTGTGGTTGTTGTTTTTAACTTGTCAAAATGTCATAATGACACGCATGCTTTGTTTTTGTTGAAAGTGAGTTCGAAATGACTTCTATGCATGCATATCCTTGACACAAAATATGAATTAAATTTGGAATTTAAAAATACGTTTTTTAAATGGGTCGCCACGAGCAAACTTTTTTCCGTTGATGTAGCATACTTTTAGGCATTATTTGTTTACACAGTGACTCGCAAGAGGTTTGTTGCCTAAAATATTTAAAAGCTTTGACGATCGGCAAATGTAATTTATATTTTTATTTTGCTTGACTTGTTCTCCAAATTATATTGACTTCCTCATTCCCTTTGAACCTCCTCAAAATAACCCATTTAGACCCCACAAAATTTATATATTTTTGATCAACATTAATTTTTAATATAGATTTAGCCATGCATACATAAATGACTTTCAGTAAGAGTTTATCATGTTCCGGATTTTTTTTTAATTCGGCCCTAAAAACTTTTTAGCGAAGGGTTATAAATCGAAAAACTTGACCATTTATTTAAAACAAAAAAATATTTTTTTTACTAAAATGTTAAAAAAAGGCCGCAATACTAAATTTGAATTGAAGATTATTGCTTCTTCAAAAAGTCTCACGCTCCCAAAATTTCATTAGTCTCATAAAAACAAATTAATCTTCCAAATGATACCGAAACAAATGCTCCAAAAATGTTTTTTTTTGTAACCAACAATTATGGTACGAATTTAAAATAAGCAAATATTTCTACAAATGATGTAATGACTTCATTTTAACCACCTTTTTTCCAATGGCTCTTTATGTTGTACCCAAAAAGCAGGGGATCGTTAAAATAAATTTAATGCTATTCCTTATCAGCCATCAGACGCCATCAACCATAACAACACAGCCCAAAAATAAATGGCAACAACAACCGGCGAATGTGTTAAAAAATTAATAACTTAATTTATGTTGGCTTTGGAACATAAAAATACCTAATTCCTCTAGGCAACAAATAAAAGAGTTTTTGTACATAAAATCACTCACAAACATACCTTTGCACAGTACGACCTTTACATGGCTCATAAACTTCATCGTAACTCAACTCATTGGTCAGCACATAGCATAGACCTTGGCCATAACGATTATCGCGTACTTTCGTTATGTAACGATGGGCGCAGACCAAAACCTGGAAAGATAAATAGAAGAAATGTTAGAAAACATGAAATAAAAGCATATTAAGAAGAAAATTAAGTAAATCTTAAATATCCAGTTTCAAACTAAAAATCTGAGAAATATTTTTTTAAGTTAAAAATATTCTTTATTTTTCTATAGGAAAAAAAAATCTTTCTTTGGAAAAAATATCTTTATCTATAAATAAAAAAAGGACTTTTTTTTCTATAAAAAAACTACTCCATCTCCTGAGGACTGATTTTTTTTATAAAAAATACATCTGGCTCCTGAGAACCGACTCCTCATACATAAGCCTCCTGAGAATCGATTTTCTCTATAAAAAAAAACTCCACCGTCAGCTGAGGTCTTATTTCTTTCTATAGTCAACTGAGAATCGATTTTTTTTTTTGGAATTGAAAACAAGTTAAGAAGTATCTATCGATTTTGCTGCAGATGTATACCCTCCATGTCAGCTTATTTAAACATATTTGAGATTGCATTATGATTATTCAAACTCTTCAGCATTAATGGGAGAGGTTTCGAAGAAGTGGGCCAATATTGTCCATTTCATATCTGACAGAAAATAAATGCTGGGAGGTATCGGGTTTTGACCTTTTGTGGGGAGGTACGAGATGGAGTGGGCCGAAAAATTCCATGTTCACATCAGATCTTTGGTTGAGGGAAATATTGAGATATACCAAGTTCGAAAATAATCGTTGAATTGTTTAATTGTTTAACAAGTTATGAGAGATATAAGTATTAAAAAATTTGTTACTAAAAATATTGAAATTCGAGAGTTAACCTGCGCATCAGTCAGTCGGATAGACAGACGCACACCTCTAGATCGATCTCAAATACCCCGAAAAGGATTTGGTACAAGGCTCTAAAACCGTTATTTCTATGAGGCACATTTTGCGCGTTTTTAATAATATATACCCTCTGTAGCCATATGGCTGAGGGTAGAAAAAAAGTGCCTCAGACAATTTTTTTCCATAGAATTTTTTTAGTTTTTAAGACTTTTCTTTTATAAAAAGAAAATATCCGTCTCGGAGGATTTATTTCTATTCTACAGAAAACATCCTTAGTCACCTCAATTTTTCCTAGAACAAACGCCATCTACATTTCTATTTTAGGCAGATTATTTTTATAGAGGAAAGTGCCTCAGTCAACTGAGGGTCGATTTTTTCTATAGAAAATTCTCAGTTTTTAAGGTTATTTTTTATTAACATATTATCAGTCACGGAGGATCGATTTCTATTCCGCAGGAAACATCTTCAGTCATCTCAATTTTTCCAAAAGAAACGTCATCTACACATCAATTTTCCATATTATACAAAGTGGTTTTGTACACAATGTATACTTTTAGGCCTATTATTTTTATAAAAAAGGGCCTAAGCCAACTGTAAGTCGATTTTTCTACAGACAATTCTCAGCCTTTAATGACTTTCTATAAACTTAATTATCAGTCTCGGAAGATCGATTTCTCTTCTATAGAAAACATATTCAGATACCTCAATGTTTTCCGAAAGGAACGCCATCTACACTTCAATTTTACATATTATTAAAAATGGGGTGAGTACGCAATGCATACTTTTAGACGTTAAAATTAAAAATTACTGCTGGAGGTTTCCTTACGGTTGGACTATTTTTCTGTAGAATAAATTGAAAAAAATGACTCAGTCATTGATGGTCGTTTTTTACAGAAAAAATCGTCAACCAATGATGACCGTTGCCGCAGTTGTTACTCATTTTAGCGCCTTAATGTGTGCATTGTAAAACCCATATTGAAGTGTAGATTACATCCTTATACTTTAAAAATATTGATAATCTTATGGAATATTGAAAAAGTATACATACCTTGCCGCCTAAACCTTGACTCCGGACGGTAACACCCAGCCATTGGTCCTCTTTGATTTCATCCTCAGAAGGTTCCATTAATTCCTCTACATCATCGCTATCGTATGCTGGTGATGATAATAACACGATTATAGAGAGCAAAAGCGTGAGATACCACAGATGGGGAGAGAGAGAGAAAAAAATGATAAATGTTAAAATGATTGAATTTCGCTGTATGTAAAAATATGTGTGTGTGTGTGAGAGAGATAGAGGGCGCTAACATTATGTTACGGTATTAACATTAACAGAGATGAGTTGTTGGTTGGGTTTATGTTTCATATTTTAAAGTGTGGGTGGTGGGTGGAGTGGAGAAGAGAGGAGTAGGGCATTACAACATATAACATCGAATAAAAATTATTTTACAAAAGAATAACAATAAAATTATAATTTATGTAAATTAAAATAAATTTAGATGAGTAAACAATTTTGAATACATTTTTTAAAGGACGGTGGGGTGTTGAGTGTAATTTCGTGTGTGGGTGGGGGAATTAATGTTAAGTTATGATATGATGTGTGTGTGTTGAGAGGTGTAATTTGGTGTGTTTGTTTTTTACTGTGGGAATGTGTATTGTGTGGAGTGTATGTGTAATTCGTTGTTGTTTTCTACATAATTTACATTCGGGTGTAACGAGTAAATGGTTTTGTTTTGTAAAATTTTGGAGATTAAAAAAAAACAAAAAATAAAAAAACGATCTAGGCGGGAATTTAAAAATATAATATTCTGATTATATTTTTACAATATAAAAAACATTTAATTCGAAAAAAATTATAAAATTGAAGGAAAAAATATGGCAGATAATTTTTTAATATGTATTATTTCCAGAAAAAATTAATTGAAAATATGCTGGTAGTTTTTACAATATTTTGTAATGATGATTTTGGGAAAGGCAAAGTGCGTCAGATTCTCATTCACTTGTGAATTATCGATAGCTTGCTATTCACCAAAGTTGTCATATCAAAAAGCTGAAAAAAGCCAAGTGAGTATTCCCTCCGCCGGGATGAAATTATTATATTATCAGAAAATATTGCAAAGCTGTTTCGTTTTGAAAAAACACTGCTCTCCTTAATAGAGAGTAATATGAAGTTAAGTCAATAAGGGAATATCTTAGACTTAAGCAATCATTAAAAAAGTATTTAAACTCTGAATTCGTTACACCCTTATGTTTTTGTGTATGTGTATAATAATTTCTTTGTTTTTGTTTTGTAATTAGAACATCAATATTTAGTGTGACATAAAAACATAGTTTATTTTTTATAAATTTTATACAAATACTCAACTAATGGTTTGTGGCTAGTTGAGTTAAACACTTAAGTTTTAATATTTTTGTTTAACATTACATTACATATATACATTCATACATTGTTTTATATACATTAAAAAGAAGGAACATACAGTTAAAGCTAAATGTGCAGGTGGTATTAGTGCAAAATACTCAAGAATAAAATATAGATATTGAGGAAAACAAAAAATAAAGGTAGATTATTAAACGGAAAGAGGAGATAATAAAATGAAAACACTTTTATTAAAAATAAGTAAATATTTTCAGTATTTTTCCTAGTTATGAACTTGTTCATAGAATTCAGGAAAGTGTTCATAAGTAATATTCGCCTTAAGATTGTTTTCATATTATCTTGAAATATAATCTGTTATATGATACTACTATTATGCCAACAACATATTCTATGAATTCGTTCATAAATTTCATGTCAATGTTCATAAATGTTATTTTAAAAGAATTTCTGAAAAAAAAAACAAAATGTGTTTTTGGAAGTGGTTTGGTTAGGTTTACATTTTTAATATTTACTTAAAGTTTGAAATGCAATCTGCCTATGAATTTTGTACATAGTTTTAATGTAAATGTTCATATATTTTATTTTGTTCAATGAAGTTGTGAACTAAACTCATTTTACTTTTCAAAACGGTTTGGCTACGTAGAAATTTATAATATTTACCACAATTTTACTTGTAATAAATAAATAAATTATTCACTCATTTAAGTAATTTATTCATAGATTTTATGCTAATATTCATAAAATTTATGTGCCGTAGATTTTTATAAGGAAACCATCAAAATATTTTTAAAAGAGAGAAATTGTAGTAGTAGAGAGAAGTTTCAAAAGAAAGTATACAATTTAGAAAAACTTTGGAAATAACTAAAGCCCCAGTCGAAGGCCTGTTACTTAAAAGAATATAACTTTGGAAAAACTTCGGTTCGAAAGTCGATAATTCAAATAATGACTCCCGAATCGATTAAAATAACAACATAATGTAACCACTTGTCTGATAGGTATTTTCATTTGCTGATACATATATTGTCCATATCGGTATATCAAATATTCGGGTCAATCCCCCTAGAATAATTAAACTATTTTTCTGGAATAAGGGTACAAATACCTGCCTCTCGAGAGGTTTTACTTAACTAGAGTTGTTCCTAAAGACGGAATAATTGTGGATAGCTAGAAATAATTTTCGTGGCTATTTAAGAAGAATTTTTCAGAGTTCTTATCGGGACTTTCAGGTGGATTTTCAACGACTATTTGAAGAATAAAACAGCACAGTTATCATTGTGGATTTCTAGGAAGAATTTTCAGAGCAGCAGTCAAGGATTTTTGGAGAGATCGAGGATATCGAGGGATTTTTTCCATTTTTGGAGGATACTCCCTTAGGGACTACAAACCGGAATTTTTAAAGTAATTTTTGAGAGTCTCAGTCGAGAATTATTTTCAATATTATTAGAAGGACAAGAAACAAGGAGTTTTTCAATCTTTTTTTAAGGATTTGAATAACTTATAAAGGAATTATATGCATAATTTTGGAAGGTCTAAAATCATGGCTTTTTCAATTGGTTTTAAAGTTCATTTTGTAATAATCTTTGAAGCATTGAAGTCATGGACTTTTCTCAGCAATATTTCAAAGTCTAGAATCAGGGATATTTTCAATAATTTTTGATAGACCAGAGTTTTTTTATATATTTTGAAGGACTAAAATCATGGTTGTTTTGATAATTTTTAAAGGACCAGAATCGTGGATTTTTGATGAACAAAAAGGAGGGAGCCAATATCAAATATATTTACAATAGATCTTGTGTTAATTAAAATGTGTGAAATTTGAATAGAATTGGATCCTCAATTCCCATTTGATGAGAGTTATTATTATTGAAAATATTGATTCTTTGTAGGGGAGGGCGATATTAAGGGAGGAACCAGAAGGAGAGTTATCGTGCGCACCAGCCAACAGACAGACGGACGGGCGGGCATCACTAGATCGAGTCCAAAAGTCCTGAAACGGGTTTGGTTCAAAGAGACCTAGGGTCTAAAACCGTTATTTCGATGAGACACGTTTTGGCCGAATCAAATGATATATACCACCTGTAGCCATACGATTGAGGGTATACAAATAAAATATGTTCGTTATTTACGTGAATTTTGGAAGGACTATTAGAACTTCAATCATGAATTTTTGGGTCCCTCAGAGTGTTTTAAACCGGATCAGCTAAACTTCATTGACTTCTTTCAAGAATATTTCTTTGAAACCACTCTCAGTACCATTGCCTTAAACTTTTTGATATACCAGCGATCACTTGACTTCTAATTTTCTCATTAAATGCATTTGTAAATGTCATTCTCTGACCCATATTTGACACTTTATTGCCCGACATTCTACACATTAATGCCATTTAATATAAGACCACAAAGTGCGGAATAAAAAAAAGAGAAAGCTCTATCAAAAAAATACTTCATAGATTTAGAGGTTATGAATGAATTATATGCGTTAATGACAACAGAGATCGGTCGGTCATACCTGCTGGCCAAGCAAATCATTCATAAACTTTGAAAGTAAAAAAGAACAACAACTACCCATAAAAAATATGAACAATAAAAACAAAACTTTTTTCCAATGATGACCTGCTGTTTGGAAAACAAGAAATGGGGGAAAAACAAAAGAAACATTAAATCCAAAACGATACAACCTGGTCGGTTCGGCTTCTTTTCTTAATAGACTCCCTAGCTTACAGTAGCCAACGGCTGCTGCCACTTAAAGGCGGGTTATTATTCTGGTTGAAAACAATTTGCTGGAAAGGGGGGAAGGACGGGAAAAAATGAGGAGAAAAATTGTTCCAAACACATGGCGAGTACTTTATGTAGTACTTGGTTGCAAGTTGCAACATAATAAGTCAATGGAAATCTGTTGAGAGAAATTCAGAGGCAAAGAGAGAGAGAGAGAGAGAGAGAGAGCAAGAAGGGCTTCGTACCGATATTGAGGTAAAATACTATCAGTCATTGAAATAAATGATTATGAACAGGGAGGAGAACCATTGCTGGCACCCAACTGCAACCACAACTAGAATGCCTTTAAACTGGGAAATGCATGTAACGGAATGGCAGAAAAATCAATCCAACCATTGATCGATTGATTCGTTCGTTTGATGGTTGTTCAACAACAAAACACACTCACACGACAACAATAATCTCTGGCTGGCATCTATCGCATTTGATGGCCGTTTGATTTGGACGTGGACGACAACGACGATGGTGATGATAGGAGAAACCAGTCGTCAGTCTGTCAGCAGCAACACTATAGCAACAATTGATTTTAAGCGATCAAATGTTAATGCTGTTGTTGTTATTGTTGTTGTTTTTGTAGGAAATCAAGACGGGAGAACTTGGGGAAAATACTACGTTGTTCCATTTGATTAAATTTCTTGTAACTTGAATGTCTGTCTAAACAAGCGTTTAACTGCATCTGTTAACGATAAGCGACGACCATACATACATACAGACGAACATGTGTGATATTGGAGATATGAATATAGGTATGCATGTATGCCAACATGTAAGTTAGTAAAAAGTGGTTTAGATTGTGGAAATTGAGTTTGAAGTTACCTCAAATCAATGCTGCTTGCCTTTGAGGAACTTTTTGAATGAGGTGGTGTAAAGTGAAAAAAATAGAAATTACCGTAAAGGTGTCAAGACAAAATAACTACGAATTGTGGTATGATAATGAGAGGAAAAATTAAGAGGGTTTTTGCCAAACCTTTAAGGGCTATATAATGGGTTTTAATAATTT